CGCCTCCCCTCATGGCAGCTAAGAAGCAGAGAGAGAAGAGAGGAGCAGCAGAGGAAGCTGTTTCCTCCAAAAGTACACCTCAGGTGACACAGCTCTTCCAACCAGGCCGTGTCTCCCATCAGCACATTTAGCTATAAATTATCAAGATTTTAGTCCACTGGTGAACACAGTACCCCATTCAATCACTTTCCACATGGGACTTATGAAGGACATTCTAAATCCAAATCACAATAGCATGCAAGACCAGTAAGTCTTTTCTGAAACCTTGCATGTCTGAAAACGTTACACTTCCTTCATATCTGTGTGATGGCTGGGCTGCACACAGAAGTCTAGGCTGAGAAAAATTTCACTGAAGAAACTTCAAAGCATTTCCCATTTTCTTCTGGCTTCCATTGTTGATGTTGAAAAGATCCATTTTGCTTCTTGAACCTTAGTATGGAAACAGTATGTTATTTTTTTCCACTGAAAGCTTTTGGTACCTTTTACATACCCTTGATGTTCTGAGATTTTGTGTGATGCACTGATATGAGACTGTATGCATTCACCGTGCTCGGTACAGGTGGTTTTTTAATCAGGAGCTCCATCCATCTGTCCACCTATCCATCCATCCATCCATCTATCCTTCCACCCATCCACACATCCATCCATTCATCCATCCATCCACACATCCATCCATGCATCCATCTATCCATCCATCCACCTATCCACCCACCTATTCATTCACCCATCCATCTGTCCATCCATCCACTCACCCATCCATCCATCCATCCATCCACCCACCCATCCACCCATCCATCCATCCATCTTCCCATGTATTCATCCATCCATCCATCATTCATTCACTCACCCACCCATTCATCCATCTATCCACCCATTCATTTATCCATCCATCCACCCACCCATCCAGCTCCTCAACCATGCATACATCCCACCCATCTACCCATCCATCTCTACCTACATATGCATGCATTCATTTGTACACCTCTACCTCTGCTTTCATCCACCCACACCCCGTGCATCCACTGACCCCTGCATTCATTAGTCCACCTGTCTACTCATCCAACAAATAAGTATTACTATATGCTGTGTATCAAAAACTGCTCTAAGTTCTTGGTATTCAGTGGTGAGTAGTAGGCAAATGCCAAAAAGCTGGAGTAATAATCTCTATATTTTCTACTGTTAAAAGGAAAAATTGAAAACTTAACATAATGTATTTATAAATGTCTTTGTGCCTCATAAGAAGGCATAAGAATGAACAAAACCAGCACCTGCCTGGCAAGCATGACATCGTGAGTTCGATTCCCGGTACCAGAAAAAAACAACAACAACAAAAAAAGGAATGAACAAAACATAAATAATTTTTCAAAGTTCAGAGATGGTAAGCAGGCAAAATAGTTTCAGACCCTAACACACTTCTCAGGCCTGGGGTTTGGGGAGTTACTGAGAGAGAGGCATCTCGTACAATGTGGTTGTCATCTTAGAATCCATTGAGGACTGCAGCCTGGGTCCACAGATATGACTTGCATTGCATTAACAAGCTTTTTTTTTTTAACTTTAAAGAGAAGAAGAAAAAAATAGAAATAAAAATAAAACAGTTTCAAATCAGGCTAATAGGAGAGTAACAATAATTAATTCACTGTATATTGTTATCACATAGTAGTTACTCAGGGTGCAAGATATAGGCATGAAGTATTGTCCAAACAATATTAGCACAAAGCTTCCTTTTCAATGAACTAAGAGAAATAAGCTGCATAACTATCTTAGCTATCTTGTGTATTATACTTTTTTTTCCTTTTCTCTTCTTTTCCCCTTTCTACCATCAGTTTCTCTTTTCTTTTGATCAGTTTCTTCCCAACTCACAATATCTATTGTATATTTTGGATCTATTTTACTCATTCAGCTTCTCACACTAGGGAGACAATATGATGCTTACACATGTGGATCTGATTTACTTCACTTATGAGTATGGTCTCCAATTGCATCTATTTACCTATAAAAGTCTCAAGTTTATTCTTCTTTATGGCTGAGTAGTATTCCATTATAGAAAAGAAAAAACCACGTCTTTTTTATCCATTCCTCAGTTGATGGACATTTGGGTTGTTTCCAAGATCAAGCTATTACAAATTGTGCTGCTATAAACATGGGTGCACATATATCACTGTGGTATGATGTTTTTAATTCTTCTGGGAAGATACTCAGAAGGGGAATCGCTGGGTTGAATGGGACCTCTAATCCTAGTCTTTTAAGGAATCTCCACACTTATTTCCACTGTGGCTGCACCAGTGTACACACCCACCAGCAGTGGAGAAGGGTTCATTTTTCCCCACAGCCCCTCCAGCACTTGCTATTGGTTGATTCCTTGATGACAGCCATTCTTTCTGGGGTGAGATGGAATCTCAGTGTTGTTTTAATTTGCATCTCTCGAATGACCAATGATGCTGAACATTTTTTCATATGTTTATTTGGCATTTGTATTTCTTCCTCTGAGAAGTGTGTGTTCATCTCAGATGCCCATTTTCGGATTGGGTCTTTGAATCTGGGAAGCCTGATTCATTAATAGCTATATGTGTGTTTTAGTTTGGTGCTGGGTATTTTTCTCCTTTTCCTTTTCCTTGCCAGCTAAGTGTTCACCTAGAGTGAAAGCATTCCACACTTAAACGTATTGGTACCATTCTGAGATGGAGAGAAAAATCTCGGGCAGACAGGAAGCAGACTAGGAACGGAACTCTGGGTAGGAAAGGCAATTTCAATATAACAGTGGAAACCAGGCAGCTGGGTGACGTCATCCAGGTGACGGTGAGCAAGTCCAGAAGGCTGTGCCTGTGTCACAGTTGGACGCTCACGTAAACCCTGCCATTGGAACTTTACCGGAGCGTGAATGCATGAGGGCTGTGAATGTGTCAGTCAAACACCCCGGAAACAGGACTCGGCCAGCGTCTCCTTCTCGGCTTCCGTCCCTTCCCTTGCCACAGCTACGTATTTCTCCCATCATATCAGCTGACTTTTCCAGCACGTCGGTGGCTTTGGTCTAAAGTCCCTGGCCTTTTGCTTCTCAAAGGATCCATCCCAACCAGTCCCACAGCTCTTCTGAGAATGTAGTCGTCCAGTCCCCTTCGCTGGGTCTGGGTGTTTGTGAGCACTGGTTCTCCTGCTGCGTTAGGCGGGACACGTTCCGTTTCTGTGACTCCATCCCTACAAAGCACTCTTCTCCCTCGGAGCACATCCGGCTCTGTCGCTAGCATCACCAGCATGCACTGCCTGCCGCGTCTCCACTAGACCCAGGACCGGGCGCGGGCCGTGGAGGGGCGGGGCTGAGGCTCACTCCTCTCACGCGCTTCCAGCGCCCAGCAGCTTGCTGGTGGGTCCATACTTCAAACGCAGTGCAGAGGAAGTCCTACTCTGTCTCCATGAACCTGGTGGCAGATAAGTGCGCAATCAGGTTGGGATAGAACTAATGATTTTGTGTTTTCTGTACTGTAGATGTTGATAGATGTATACAGTCTTTCACTGTTCACCTGAGAGAAACACAAACTTTTCTACAAATAAATAACCAGTGCTAATGAATGCTTAAGGGATGCACATTTCTGAGATAAAGGGTGCAGCGTTTATTGGGCCACAGTCACCCTATCACGCTCAGTTCCCCTGTCACACACAGTCCCTGTCACACACAGTTCCTCTGTCACACTCTGTCATGCACAGTTCCTCTGTCACGCTCAGTCCCTGTCACACTCAGTTCCTGTCACACTCAGTTCCTTTGTCACGCTCAGTTCCTCTGTCACACACA